AAGTGGCATGCCCATAGGCATGCCCCCAAGGCATGCCCAAAAGGCATGCCCATGCCCCTGTGCCTCGAACCCTAGTCAGAACGTAATAGTAGTGTTATTAACATGTTTCATGAGATGATAAGCGAATTTTAAAAAATAACGATAAGCCTTCTAAGGTAGTACAGATAACGTTTATTTTTATTTAATGTTAATTATTCGAGAATTTTTACATTCACATTGCCTATATATTCCATCTGCTACTTTTTTGCATGTTTTGCATGAATGATGATTGCATTCATCACAAACCCCTTTTGTCTTGCAAGCTCGAAAAAAAGATATATAAAAAAAATGTTAACTAACCATATCCGGCTTTGAGCAAGTCCATGCCCTACTTGCAATGGAAAACATGGTAATTATGGATTACATGGCTCATGGTACCATGAGAATGGGAATCAGTTCCCTTATGATCCTGAATTAGCGAAGTTGTATTCCCAAGATAAGTTGGAATATTGTCTTACCTGCAACACTTAAAGCAATAAACTCAAGTTTGCAATTGTAGCATAGGACGAAATAGATCATGTGAAATCGATCGCCTGGAAAAATGCGCAGTCGTTACTCATTGCCATGATAAATGCACTGCCGAAATAATGGACTGTGCAAATCCCGAGTTAAATGAAATTTTGGTCATACGTACAAGAATTTTTTTGACTATATCGATATTAATACTTATATATCATGCCGAATTTCTTAACAAAAAATCAGGATAGCATAGCTTATAAAGAGCTGGAAGGTGCTTTGCTAAGGCAGAACTACTTTAAAAAACGACATATATTTAGGTGATGGAAGCATGGATGTAAAGTTTGTGATGAATGCGATCATCACTCACATCTGTATTGCAAAAGGTGTAAAAAAAGTCGCAGAAGGAATATACTGATATAAGCAATGTGAATGTGTCACAGCCTGTGCAACATAATATTTGAGCTTTCGTACTTAGCATAGGAATCTTGAAATTGCAAAGGTATTATTAGCGGACTATCTTATAAAAAGAGAATACACCGAATAAATAGCATCATTATGTAGCAGGCTACAGCTTGTATTTATTATCAATAAAGCAATGGCGCGTGGAGTGGGTTATTGTAGAAATAAATATGCAGTAAAATTATAGTCGTTACATGTATCACAGGAACAAGTAATCACGCGCAAAATAATTTATTCTCAAACTTTCTCGCACACAGGGCTTCAGGCACTATAGTAATTTGCCGGCCATTCAATAATTATCATTCTTGATCTATATTATAATACTATTTAATTTTGATTAATCAAAAATGACACTTCAAACAATTACCTTTGGCGCAGTAAATGGCCGGCATATTGATGTAGTGTCTGAAGCCCTGCTCGCACATCAAAATTATGTATAGCCCCTTGATGATTCATCCCTGTACCGGATGCATAATTTGGCATTTGCCGGAGCATAATCCTGGTCACTCTAGCGCCTACAGAGAAAAAAATCACATGACTGTAATTTCAGCCGGGGCCCCTGCCAAAATCTTACCTACAGAGCAGGGCCACGTAACAAACTTGTATAAATACGTGACAGGAAATGAACAATAAAATAATGAACGAATATTTCAAGCGCAAGTCTTCGGAATGGAATATTTCGGACTTTTTGGAAGAATGTGGTATAGAAGAATTTAAGCAGAAAATAGAAGTTTACCTTACGTCCCTCAAGACCATCGCTAATACTCAGCAAGACAAAAGGAGCGAACGAGCACAAGAGTTGCTTGATAATTATAAAAAGGCAAGTTTATTTTTGGGGGAGTTAAAAACATAAATAAAAAATTTGGTGGCGTGGCAGAAGGACCTTGAGTCCTTGTGTTATTCAAGTCTTTGAGACGAGCTACGAAGCTAATGTTGGGGCGCAGAAAATCTTTGAGATTGGCTGACGTTCAAGACTTTGAGTCAACCTGGCATTGGCCCTACTGGGGCGCAGAAAATCTTTGAGATTGGCTGACGTTCAAGACTTTGAGTCGACCTAGTAGGATGCAAAGATCAGATGGGAAATTCAGAAACATGTTAAGGATATTATTAATGATTCTTTTTTTTTCTAGAATGGCCAGCCGGGGCCAGATTATAAATTGGCGCGAGATTGGGAGAAAAATCACAATAAACCAGCCAAAGTCGGTGTTCACTTAAACAATTCAACAATTACGGCCATCAACAGCAACATTGGGAGTGAAAGTTACATCGGTGGAACGGTAAATGCCAGAGCTTTGCTTAGGAAATTGCCTCAAAAAAGAAAATCGGCGAATAAAAGCCAGGCAGAACCGGATGAGAAGGTAACTAACTAATACCAGTATATTTCAATTATTTTGAAACAATTACTAATCTTTTTTTTGATTCAGCCGAAAAAAAAATCCACCCGATCCACGAATAATAGCATTGATAATCACGAAATCGAAGATCATAATGAAGATGATAATGAAGCTGAAGGTGGGCAAGAAATCAACGACTTTACCGATTTTGATCTTGCCTACCAGAGTCTAAACCCAGCAAAAATGTGGACCCTTGAATCATCTGGCCGTATTGTTGAGAAGATCATTTATGAACATGCACGAACTTTAAAGCATGAATCTCATTTACATTCCTTTATTCTTAACGATGTCGATAAGAAAGCACAATCATTATTCCGAAAAGAAGAGTGGGAAGAAATATTCTCTTTAAACCTTAAAGTTGTACCGAAGATCGATAAATCAATTACTGAGCTCATGAAAAAATATTCGGTAACTAATTTACCCTCATTTCGAAAAACCATCTTCGAACCCTTTCTACCATCCGGCATCTCATACTCCAACGAGGAACATTTTTACTTAAATTATATTAACTATGCATATCGTGCAATACAACTCTTTGGGAAGAAAACGAAAACTTTACTATGAATCCATCATCAAGATTGGAAGGGTGGTACCAACACAATATATGGAGTCCCATCATTGACCCAGCGTTCCGTAATTTTGAGATTGATCTTATACGTGGGGAAGGCTCAAGTATGGCATCTAGTGATAGAAAAAATGATGACACGGATTGTGAGGAAGATCGAAAGAAGATCGGAAGGAAAGGAGATGGGGTGTTTAGATTGAATGGAGATAGGTTGGAATTTGGGGCTATTGAGGCCGGAAAGAAATGGGAAGGAAAAAACGGAAAAAAATACATTACTGACAGCTTGAAACTTAGTAAGATGCTCAGGGATATGCTAGTGCAACTTGCAAAAGAATGTAATAATGATGAACAAATTGTTAGGAAATTACAGACCGTTGGGATGTTACATAGTGCCAATCGATTTCAACTCCTTACTTTGGATGCTCCAAAGGGATATATTTGTCGAATTCGACGTTTTGACTTTCACGAAGTTGCTAGTCATATAAATAATCCACCATTAGCATTTGTGCTAAAAGACATTTTAAGAGCAAAGGCAATTATTAAACAGACATTAGAATTAGTGCAAGAAAAGAAATCTGATCTTGATGATCTCGATGATTTTGATGACGATGGGAGGGAAGTTAATAGATCAGAACGGTGTACAACTCCTCCAACAATTACTTTAAACAAAACCCACAAGACTCCAGAAAAAAAAACAGTACTATAGATGTAATGAGAAAACAGGATAGTTAACAATTTTAGAATCAACCATATCAATTTATTCTGCTGTTTGTATGTAATAGACATTAATATTTCACTTGTATTTTTAACTTGTGTTATATGGATACATTAACTGACTGATCGGTGTAGGTGGAACTTAAATAAAGATCGCGATGATTGGATCGTTACAGAAGTTTAGCATTTTTGGGGGATTTTCATAAAAAAATTTCTATGATAGAAGTAGAGACATGCAGAGAAATTTCTATCGATAATGCAAAGAATTCTATAAATTATGAAAGTGTATGCATCATGAGTTATAGAATTTTTACATTCACATCGCTTATATCATGTTTTGCAATATAGGTGTGAATGATGATTGCATTCGTCACAAACCTTACATCCATGCTTCCACCCTCTAAATATGTGCCACTTTTCGATATAATTTCGGCTTTTTTTATTTGTATATGTATTGTTATGATTTTTTATCATTGTTGTATTAAT